GTTAGGAGCTGCTGCCTGGAACGGGTCGCAAAGTACGTAGTAAACAGATGTGAGTCCACGAGTGTAGACTGCTGAACCCGCCTGGAGGGGCACGGAGGAGGTGATGGGGCGTCCACAGAAGCATGCAGTTTACCGTCAGAATGTAAGAGTCCCCCGTTCCCAGTGGACGTTCAACATTTCACCTGGGGAGTCCTGGGTCATTGGCACTGTATATCGAGGTTTTATAGGAAACGTGTCCAGTGTGCATTTCCTTTTCCACCTGAACTGAGTTGCAGAATTGTTCGCTTGCCCCTTCTGGATGTGCTCTTTCTGTTGACGACCACGTGTCTTTTTGTAGTACTGTAATTTAGAGCGTATTGCTGGTGCTCTAGATTAGAACGCTGTATTAGCCATACGTGGTTTTAGGGTCTTGGCAAACTTGAGGAGCTTGGGTAACACACTGGAAAGCCAGAGATGATGAGCTGCGCGGTGACTCACTGCTCAACAGTCTGCACGCCTCTGGGATGCTGGACTCATATCTGACCCAGCCGCTCAGCTCAGGAGCAAGACAGCCCCCACGTGTTACTGTTCCTGCAAACAAACCACCCAGCATGGAGCCTGGGGGGTGGCCGGTGGGGAGGAGTAGAAAAGAGCCACTTGAGAGCACTCCTGGTGCGTGGGTCTGGAGTCGGGGGCTCACCCAGCCTGCGGAGCGTGTGCACCCCGGGGGGCCGCCATGGATGCCCCACCCCAGGCAGTACAGTCAGCCACGGAGACCACCCTTCGCTCAGCAGCCTGCGGGGGGCGTGTCCACCCCTGCGGGGCTGTCCCATCGTCTGGTGCTGAGTGGGGACCTGAGAACATGTGAACACTTAGGCCCCTGCGTCCTCACTGCCGTGGGAAGACCTGCCTGCCTTCAGTTCTGCCACATCTAACGCACAGTCTCCACTTGTGGCCCTGGTCACCCCGATTCAGACATGCAGATCCTTTCTAGGACCAGAGATGTTGCCTTTCTAGATGGCTTTCCTTAATTTTAAAAAGCAGTGAAAAATCCTGGCATCTCCACGCGGCTTTTCCGTTCTCTGCCCAACCTGGGAGTTCCCTCTCCTGACCCAGTCGGGTGGCCCTGGGGAGGCTCAGCTGGCGGGGGGGTGGGGGGGGCGCGTCGCTGGTGCTCGGTACACACGTATTCTGCATGTGGTCAGACACGCGCTGCGGTTTGGGGTCCACGAGACCTTCTGCCGGCCTGGGTTCACCAGCAGGACTGCGCAGCCATCAGACTCACTTCACGGCGATGACCACAAGAGGACAAGTGGGACCAGTGTAAGGGGTGCCCAGGCCGGGGTCCCTCCCCAGGGGTCCTGTGGACAGCGCTCACTCATCAAAGCAATGATGCGTGACACCATGCACAGAGCGCTGCCAACCCAGGAAGCCCACCTGAGCCTTGGCGTCCAGGGTTTCCACTGGGGGTCATTTGTGTAGACGCGGGTGACCCCCACATGGCTGACCTTCGTTTCCAGCCCCTGCAGGTCAAGGGGACACCACGAGACTGGCGCCCCTCCATAAAGCACAAGGATGGTGCCGACCACGTGTAGCTGGCCCCCCATTCCCAGGGCTCGTTCCCGTGGCGTGGAGGTCACCCCCAGAAGCACAGGCCCAGCAGGCCATAGAGTCAGGCAGTCACCCTACGCAGGGGAGCGTTCTGACCTTGCATTCGCTCCCCGGCAGAGGTCAGGGGTCACAGCGTGCTCTCCTGACTCTGTGACCCTATCTGAGGCAGCTTTGGGCCTTCACTGTTTTCCGGCAAAACATTTCTAGACAGCAATTTCTCACAGTATTTGACAAACATAAACATTCAAGTTGTTACTAGTTGTCTAATTTATCTAATGGAAAAAGGAGTACAGAGATCTTACTGAAACAGTTAATTAAAATAGATAAAAGTAAAAGTTTGCTCATTTCCTTTATTTCCCAGAAAAAGGGGAGAGGCATCAATTACACATTGAGAGTGGGGCTTCACATTTATAAAGGTAAGGTGCTGGGTGTTCCTAGAACAGCGGGCTCCCGAAATGCAGCAGAGGAAATCCAGCATGTCAGACATGGTCTGACCATCCCGAATATTGTACAGATTCAGGGCTTTGGGCTTACTCTTGTTTCGAGTATTGCCTTAGCTCTTTAAACTCAGTCTTCCAGCCTTTTGAGCACATTGTCTCTGGTCAGTGGTTTTGGGTACCAGGCAGGTACCTCCTATCTAAGGACACCTGGTAGTGTCCTGGCTGCTCCAGGCACACAGAAGGTCAAGGTGGACACAGCAGAAAAGGCCCAACGTCAGAATTTTCCCTTCAGTGAGACCGTGGGAACACCCCCTGACTGGGGGTGTCTGTGCAGATGCCCTCGTGGGCGGGCCTGGCCCAGCGCGTGTGGACGGGACTCTCCTAGATGCCAGAGCTGATTGCACGGCGTTGCTCACAGCAAAATGAGAATCCTACACCATTAGATCTCACTGGTTGGCAATCTAATATGTAACATTTTGCTGTCTTGAATTTATAGGTCAGCTAATAGTATGATTTTATTAACTTAAATGAAACTTGTATCTTTAAAGGGAAAATTGGGGAGCAGAAATTTGCACACTGCACATACCTGTTCCTACCTCACCAAGCAGACTTGTGCCCAGCAACAGGCGGGGGGCCAGGCGTGGGCAGTCGGGCCAGACATCGTTTCTGGTGTCCCGTGATAGTTCTTGCCAGCAGGGCCCAGAATGATGTAGGGTGATGCCCTCAGCTGTGTTCCAGAACGTCCGCAGTCCACGAAACCTCTCTATAGTCCTAGAAAATATTTCACTTCAATTTTTCCTACCTTATTATCTTCAGATGCTCCCGGCCTTCACGGGGTGGCACTGGGTCAAGTTGGAAGCATTAAAAACAGCAAGTATCTCCTCACCCTCAGTTGACAGCTGTGCTGGAACTTTCCAGTAGTTAGAACTGCTGGAACTACCTAGAAAGCCCCACTTTAAAAGTGATTCCTGGCCTGCCCAAGGGACATCTCAGATGGCATCTGTGAGAGAGGATGAAGGGTAGAACCCTAACATCAACCCAGATGTGCTGAGCGTCCCCGGTGACTTTCACGTGCACGGTGTCCTGCTAAGTGGACCGGCCACCACCCCCATACAGATGAGGAAGGGGGATGGGGGCTGACCTGAGTGGTCCTGCCTCAAAGCCGGAGCTGCCGAGCCTTATCACAGCCTGTCCTCACATGACTTGGCAGTGGACGCTGAGGCTCAGCAGTAACGTTCTCACCAGACAGAACCCACGATGCTCCTGAAGGACTTGATTTCTCCAACCCTGGGTGGAGTGCTGGACCCGTAAGCGGGGAATAAAATACAAGCAAGGATGCGGCGCTGGGCCAGGGAGAGACTGTCACAGGAGGCCCGCGCTGGCCCCCAAGGGGGAGCCAGGCAGGAAGGCAGGAAGAGTGCTGCCTTCTGCTCGTGTGGCCATCCTTGCTGAGCGTGGGATCAGCAGACCTCGTGCCAACTGGTGAATCTCTTGTCCTGAGATGGCTTTTAAAGGCAAGCTGATTTTTTTCCAGAAAACACTGTTCATAAATTAACCTTGAAAATTATTCTTCTGTTTATGATTTTCACATCCTAATAGTGAACACTAAATAACCATAAATAAGAGCACTTCTGTGTTTGCGTGCTGTCAGGGAGGTTTGATCTTTCAGATCCAGAACAGTGTGCGCTGTTTTCCCCGTGACAGAAGAGGCCAGCAAGGCTCCGTGCCCGGGGCAGCTGGGGCCGCTGGCGGAACTAGGCTCCGACTTCTCAGACGTTCAGGTGACCTGTGTGCTGTCCTCAGTCACCCACTCAGCTCTTATTTTAGGAAGAGCAGGAAAACACGAGGGACGTGGCGTTGTGAGGCCGCCGGAAGTGCTTGGGGGGCTGGGCGTCCCTGGCAGCGGCGTTCTGTCCGGATCTTAGAAGCCAGCCTCTGGGCAGCACATGAACACAACTAGCCCCAGAAGTGTGATCAGTAATGGCTGTTCTGCTAGAAGGTGCGACCAGGGGCTCTCACAGCGCCGGTCCTTTAGCCTTAACGTTGTTATGAAGTGCCCGACACGGTCACAGCTGCCGCAGCGCTCTCGTGAAGGCCTTGGAAGCGGCTGGTGTGCGCGAGCTGTCCCGCCACTCACCTGTTGCTTCCCTTCCTGCGAAGCGCGTGGCCTCACGTCTTGCTGGTCTCCCCCAGGTGGCCCTGGTGCAGTGGACGGAGAGTGTCGGCCTCACCCTGGTCCGCAGAGACCTCGCCTCCGTGCAGCTGAGGACCCCCAGCGGCCAGATCCTGACCTACTGCATCCTGCAGATGTTCCCGTTCACCTCGGAGAGCAAGCGCATGGGGGTCATCGTCCGGGTAGACTTGCCGCTCGCGTTCCCTTGGGCTTGCGCGTGGCTCGCTGTACGCACCACGCTGGAGACTCGGGGTGTTTCTCTTTCACTGCCCATTCAAACAATCTGTGCTTCTTGCTTATTTTTGAAATAAGATCTAAACTAAGAATTTATACTGAGAACCCAGTGAGGCCCCAGCAGTAGTGATTTAAGGTAACTCTCCCAAGACGACAAAGGCAGAGCAAGTAAAAGGTGTTAGCGATTAATGTTTGAAATCAGCTAAAGCTGTTTTGTTTCCAACAGCAGTAGCATGCCAAGGAGCTTTGCTGGGGAATGATTTATGACAACAAAGTTGCTGACATGCATCTCTATTAAATTTTTTTAGCAAATACCAGAAACTATCTTGGAAGGTGGCTAACCAAGGAAAGCTTATCAATGAAGCAATGAAAATTTGAGAGAATTAACCTTTACCTTGCAGTTGGACTTTGTTTCCACAACCTCAGCACAACATCTCAAGATCTGCATTTGTGTTCTTGGTCTTGTCTGCCTGAACAGCTAGGGGCGGACGTTGCCTTGCATAGAAAACTATTTGGGTAGCTCACTGCAGAATAGGTTCAGGGAGAATGGCGTTCCCTAGTGGGTTTCTGTTCGCGCGGCCGTCACTCCCGGGAGCAGCGTGGCCTGAATGTGCCTGTGTTTCCTTCTGTCCCAGGACGAGTCCACTGCAGAAATCACCTTCTACATGAAGGGGGCCGACGTGGCCATGTCCTCCATCGTGCAGTACAACGACTGGCTGGAGGAGGAGGTAAGCTGCACCCCTGCCCTGCGCGCTGTGCGCCACCGTCCCTGGAGGACGTACGACATCACCTTTTAACCAGACAGTATTGCTTTTCCACCATGTTATTTTAAGTGATTCCGGTGTCTGTCAACTTCATGAAGTAGGAAGGACAGGAGTTTTATGTAATTACAAATGGCTTACTTTCTATATAAACAACTACTGTTTTTGGTTTTTGTGTGACTGCGTGTAGATATATAAGTAGGTCCTTATTAGTAATATTTTGTTTATATTAGTGAGGAGGTAGCATTACTAATCATTCACTAAAAATCCTAAAGTAATATATATACAACGAAAGTTATATTTTAATATATTTATTTTGTAACCTATGTTATTTGCAAGATTTTAATTAGGATTTGAATGTCATTCTAATTTGTGTGTAGGATTCACTATAAAAATAGAAAATAAGATACAAATATGATCAATCCTACATTTCATCAAATTCTCCCTGAAGAGATAGGATTTATATTTAGCCTCATGAGGTTATTTTATTGCCTGTATGTTTCTGTGCTGACAGAAAAGTTGGATTTCAGAGTAAAACTGAACCTCTGTCTTACATACGGGTCACCCCGTCGTGGCCCAGGCATGGTCAGTCAGTGTGGGGGCTGCACGCACCCCCACGTCCACAGCAGTATTGGCAATACGAATCAATAGCTCCTTCAGGCACTTTGATTTAATCAGGCACATGAATAAATTAAATTCCCTGAAGACCTAGTAAAATGCCATAAAAATTACTTTTGGTCATAATGATGTGCAATTAATTATAAAATACTTGTTTAATTTATTTAGCTTTATGAGGTCAAATCAATAAATGTCTTGCAACAGACAGATAATGTCAGATTGTTTTTCACAAAGATAACTTTATTAAAAATCCTTTGTGCGTTTATTTTCCCAACGTTACACTTTCTTCCCTTAGATGAATCTTTTGATCCTCTGCACATGTCTTTGCTGGAATACTATTATGGTTTGAAAGCCTTTACCTTATTTAAAACAAACACAAACATAAAAAACCCAGCATGTTCTGGGAGCCTGAGCCTGCACGGAGCTCCTCTGTCTCAAGCAAGCTCCCCACATTGGATTCTTGGCTATAAACTTTTATTCTCCACGAATTAAAACAAACACATGCCACCAGCACTTCACTCCACACATCCCAGAGCCAATTCTGTAAAGCCCTCACTGTGCACAGACGTGGAGTACCAGGTCCCGGACGCAAGAGGTGCTCGGGTACTCGGCCTCCTTGCTCTTCGTGCAGGTGTGTAGCGCAGGTCAGCATCGGGGATCTGGGACGGCGTGAGCGACTAGCGCTCTGCTGTCCCCAGAGTGTGTGTGAGGCGGGAGCTGTGCAGGTCCGCGTGCTGCAGCCCTCGTCAGCCAGATGGTTAGGATTTCAGAAGGAAGGAGTAGTTTCTACTCTGTATTTGCAGAGATTTTAACATCCTGCAGGCAGATGTGGTAGATGAGCTTGGTTAGACCCGAGCGCCCCACCTCGAGAGAGGGGCAGGTATGTGCAAGCACCAGCCTTCACCCCCGGGGATCGCGGGGGAGGAGGTCTGGGCACATGGCCAGGCAGGGCAGAGTCGTGTGCAGAGTCGTGTCTGGACGGTCAGTCTGTGGGCATGACATTTCCACTCAGGCCTCTGATTCTCAGTGCATGGAAGCTCAGACGCTCCAGGTCACGGCTCCCTCAGTGGCCGTCTGCCCATCTGCCCCAGGCACTGGCATCTGTGTGCCCGCATACGCGGGCAGGGCATCACACGGGGGACGCGCTGCATGTCCGAGCTTCCTAATCACTGCATCTCCTTTTCACTAACAAAAAAGCAGCTCATTGATTTGTCTGGGATGTATTTGCTTAAATGTGTGACTCCAGCATCAGGTTTGCATCTTGAAGTGTACTCGGGAGACACCGATTTTGATTGGCTGTTGTTTGGCTCTAATGTAAAGTCCCGTGCCCCTTGGTGTTTGGTAAAAATGCTTCAGAAGATCCTCCTTCTGTCTCTGGGGGTCCTGGCACCAGCCCTGCCCAGAACACCTGCACCACAGGGCTGCAGCCCTGAAAGACTCACATCCAAAGCGCACTGTCCACCGTGGCGCTCTATGTCATCTGCCAAAACCGGCTACACGTGCTACAGTTGGGAGCTTTAAAGCATGGTCAAAATGTGAAATAGTTCCTCAGAGTTTGAGATTTAAGAGTCAACAAGAAAGAGGTGAAGGGGCTCTCAGGAGCCGCCATGGCCTGGATAAGCCTTGGCTAGTTGGTGGTAGTATTCCTAATGTGTAGACACTGTGGCTTCAGAGAATGGTACAGCTTAGCATTCACATTGTTTTTTAAACTTTATTTTTCATGAAAACCATTATTCTGAAATACTGCTGTTGACGTTCTCAGTTTGGGCATACCCCGGGCAGCACCTGGTCATCAGACGTCCTGTGTGTGTGTCTGTCCCCACCAGCCAGGCAGCCAGGGCCTCCCTTGGGGCCCCGCTCAGCGTCTTCTCCCCAGGACTCTTTCTCTCCCTGTTTCTCCCTGCTCTTCACTTGGGGGCCCTCTGGGACATGGGCGCCGGGGACACGGCCCTGTTTGGCTCACCTCGGAGTCTGAGGACGGTGACCAGCCCAGGACGCCTGGCCCTCTGCACGCGTCCTTCACCCCGGCCCTCGCGGTTCTCCAGGAGAGGCTTATGTTCGGGGTGAGACAGCTGCCCGCCGCACAGGGCTGCTCCCAGCCTGCAGAGACGACACTCACACATTTCCACAGCATGCGTTGTGAGGGCCTCAGCAGGCTTCATGCGTGCGGCAATGTCCCGTCAGTGCAGCCTGAGAGAGAGAATGCACCATCACAGAAGGCAGCGGTGCGGGGGGCCCGGGGCTCCGAAGAGCCGGCATGTGCCTCAGTCTCTGCCGGCACGGTACCGCTTTGTGCACCACCTCAGGCGAGGCTCTTCGGCGCCCGTCAGTGTGTGCGTGTAAGCTGGAGAGCTTCCGGGCCCTTTCCCCGGAGTGGCCCCGCGGCCACCACCCACCAAGGAGCTCGGGTGAGCCTCCTCTGCGAGTGTGGGGCAGAGCGCCAGCCCGTTACCTGATGGCAGGTTGGGACCAGTCCCGGAAGCAGCCTAGAATCAGGCTGTTTCTCTCCCCCTTCATCAACTAAAACTGCCTAGTTTTTCCTCTAACAGCTGAAAAATACCGTTACTTTCTCTACATTCTCTGTGAGTGGAGTTGATATGTTTCCACACACTTGTTGAATGCATTTCCATTTCTTGTTTCCTAATGCACGCCTGGGCCTCAGGCCTCGCTACGGGCCACTTGCCCTGCAGGGTAGGACCCAGACCCCAGCACAGAGCCCCAGGACTCTCAGCGTCTTCCCCTCCCCCCACCGCACTGCCACGTGAGGCTTCCCTGTTCCACACCTTGCCCCTCCCGCCCCAGCACCAAGCATCCACACTGCCCGTGCTGCTGCGTGCGGCCTGCTGCAGACCTTGCTCGTGAGACCATTTTTGAAAAGTCTAGTCGAATGTGGGAAAGCAGTGTGCTTGTTGTCTGAGGGCTGCCCCGTGCCCGCCCACCCGCGGAGATTAGGGGAGCCAAGCCATCCTTCCGGCGAGGCTGTGATTGCAGGACATGTCCGCGGAAGGAGGCGCACTGAGAAACCGTGGGTAGCTTCCGACGCGGTGACAGACCCGGGGGGGCAGGGCCCTGACTGCGGCGCAGTATCGGCGAGTGCCACAGGTGCCAGGCCCCATCGCGGTCAGCACCTGGGGGCCGCATGTGACCTGCATCTCCTTTTCCAGTGTGGAAACATGGCCCGGGAAGGTCTGCGCACCCTCGTGGTCGCCAAGAGGGCACTGACAGAAGAGCAGTACCAGGACTTCGAGGTGAGCCGACTGTCCAGCCCCTTCTGCCCCACGGGCATCCACCCCTCAGACACGTCCCTGTCAACGTGGGTGCGAGCTGCTGGTGTGGACACGCACACGACCTGGGGCTGCCTGGCTGCCCCCGAGCGCCGGGACATCCACTCCAGTCTGCTGGGAAAGGGGTGTGTCCCCGCCGCAGACAGGCTTCTGTGATGGGGCAGATTTCTGTGCCCCCACACGTCCCCCAGGGTGACCCGCACCCTCCGTCTCTCCTCAGAGCCGCTACAGTCAGGCCAAGCTGAGCATCCACGACAGGGCGCTCAAGGTGGCTGCGGTGGTGGAGAGTCTGGAGCGGGAGATGGAGCTGCTGTGCCTCACGGGGGTGGAGGACCAGCTGCAGGCGGACGTGAGGCCCACTCTGGAGATGCTGCGGAACGCAGGCATCAAGGTACGGTGCAGGCCCTCGAGACGGACTGCTGCTGTCCTGGAAGCGCCGGCCAGCTTCTTCCTCCCGGGACGTCCCCCCGGACCAGCCTCACCCAGGCCAGTGCCCCCCAAAGTCACCTGGGACCTCCCCTTGCCGCTTGCCCCAGAGGAAGCCCAAATTGTCCTGTCACTAGCAACAGTCCCCCCTGCCTTTTCTCTGCCCCGCCCCAACCCTGCCCCACCCCTGCCCCATCCCTGCCCCATCCCTGCCCCATCCCTGCCACCAGGGTCTCAGACTCACCCACCGCCCAGCTTTGTTCCTCGAGACTTTTGTGGCCTTGGGCATCCATCAGGTGTGAGCTCAGGACAATCCAGGCCTCAGGAGACCTTGGCTCTCACACGGGATGTGCTTCCCTCATGCTCCAGAGCTTTCTGCTCACAACCAGATGTTACCACGAGGGTCCCTCAGCTCCGCTGTATCAGCTCATTTTGCTCTCATTGCTGGGGTCCCTGTAGGCCCTGTGACTTGATGCTGAGTGTCCACCTGCTGACCTTCTGTCCTGCCGTTTTCATACTGCTTTGTCCCCTTCATGTCCAGGGAAATTAGCATTGTGCTCTATGTTTTAGCTTTCAGGGAACTGCTTTCTGACCTTATGTACCATTAAAGCCCAAAGTTCAGTTACAGACGGGAGAGAAAACCTATCCTGAGGCTGCCCTGAGGACTGGGGCCTCGTGTTGGAGAATGAAAACAATCCAGCTCGAGTTTCAGAGAAAAACTAAATAGCTCGACTAGAGCGACAGAAAGGAAGGATGGTATCGGAGGGAAAGCTGCCTGGGGCTGCAGCCGAAACGCACACAGTGGGTTCTGACGGAGGCGCCGAGTGTGCACAGCGGGTGCACCCTTGCCTGCAGGGGTCTTGGTGGGAGAGGAGACCCCCGTCCATGCAGGACAGCAACCTGGCAGGAGGCGCATCTGGTTTCAGAATCACAAGAGCAGTTCAGACTCAGGCTTTGTGCTGATTGTGGTGCGCAGCCGGCACTTGGGTGAAGAGGAGGTGTGAGGGCCGCAAGCAGGGCACTTGCTCGTTTTCCACAATGTTTCATACACTTCGTGTCCCTCCTTCGCCGAGCTGTGCGCGCTGAAGCCGCGGGTGCTCTTGGTGCACACAGTCTGGGTATTTCTGTTGATTGATTGCTAACCCTAAGTGTGTGGGGTCCTGCCCTTCTTCCTTCACATCTCCCGTCTAAAGAAGAGGACCCTGCATCCCTTCACGGAGCGTGAGGTTGTGATGTCAGGTGGCGGTTTCGCAAGTCACACGTGCCCCTGAGCCACTCACAGCTTCACCAGGGGTGGTTGCTCTTGCTGTCTAGCGTGAATTGTTCCCAGGTTTGTCTTAATGACGTGTCATAACCTGAGGTCCAGGCTCAATAAGGTGAATATTAGTTGTGCGAAATAAATAAAAAGCACAAGTTCTCAAACACTGAGAAGAGCCACAAGCAGATGATGCCTGAGCAAAAAATCAGTATGCCATGAGTTTTTGTTTCCTGTGTCCAAAAATGCGTATTTATATATGATACACTAGACATCTGAGAAAATCAGGTGTCAGTGGGAGAGCACTGTAAGTATTTTGCTGTTACATGAAATATGCGCGTGAACCGTCCTGTCATATCTCAGATGTCTGGTTTTGTTCTCGTGGTGGTCTAGCGATATGCTTATATGTATAATACGTGAAGTCAAAGTAGTATTTGCCATGTTTTGATACAAACAAATTTTGGCTTAACCGTTTCACCTTTTTGAACCTCAGTTTCCAATTGAAAAATTAGCAAGTTGGGCTAAGGATGTCTAGGGCGCTCCTTGCTCTGCGGCCCGTGACCACGTGGCGTCTTCCGGGCCGGCTTGTGTGGCTCGCAGGGCGGGTGAGCCTTGCCCTCGGGTGCACACGGGCGCCTCTGTAGCCTCAGAGTCTGAGGTTCCTGAACCCCCACCATCCCCGTGCCTTCCCATCTCAGCTGCTTCGTCTAACATCATTTTGCTCCTACTTGTTTTAGCTAAATAAGTCGACAGAGACGATTCTTTATTGTGGTAAAATGTACATAATGTAGCATTTATCATCCTAGCCATTTTTAAGTGCACAGCTCATCGTCACTCAGTACATTTGCACTGCTGTGCAGCCGTCCCCAGACCGTGTAAACCTGAACCTCTGTCCCCACGAAACACTAGCTCCGCTGCGCTCCCCCAGCCCTGGCGCCCCCATCTGCCTCTGTCTCTGTGGGTGCGCCTCGTCAACAGTCCTCCTACCAGGGCAAGCCCCACAGCCTTTGACTGTGTGTGGGGGGCTCCCTTCACTGAGCTCAGCGTCCTCCAGGCCCATCCATGTCCCAGCAGGTGCCAGAATATTCCCCCCTTTTCAAGGCTGAGTACTGTTCCACGGCATGCATGCCGCATTCTTATCTGCCCGTCTGTCAGTGGACACCGGCTTGCTTCTTTGGTTTGGCTGCTATGAATAGTCATGCTGTGAACATGGGTCTGCAAGTGTGTGTTCAGGAAAGGACGCTTCTAAGGGTTCTGCATCTTCACTTGTCCCCTAGGTATGGATGCTAACAGGCGATAAACTCGAGACCGCGACTTGCATCGCCAAAAGCTCACATTTGGTGTCTAGAGCACAAGACATTCACATTTTCAGACCAGTGAGTATATGTCAAAAAGCACTTTGACTATTAAATGTTTTATCTCACAATCAAAACTTGTTGGTTTTGTGAGAATGTATGTGCAAATATTTAGTAATTACTAAAGAAGAGAAATATAATTTTCTTGCTGAATTTATAAAAACATTGCAAATAGGTTTCTGTTAGCTGCTCACATTGCATGGGATGAAAAAGCTACATTGTGATGGAGTAAAACAAGATCTAAATTCAAAAGTGTTTTTCTGTTGTACAATGGAATTAATTATTAACCAAGTATCTATTTTAGAATAGACCTACCACCATCGTTTTCCATTCCATTTACAAAGTGTATGTTGATAAAAATTACATTTTTGTAGTAGCTACGCCCATTAGTAGGAATGTGTTTTTAATCTATCATTTTCAAGTGAAATGTTGTTTAATTATCTCAAAGAAAATTAGTAAAAATGGTCTAAAGTTTTGTTTTTACTGTATTACTTATGACTAATGTTTATAATTCAAACAAAAATGCAGTCTCCCGGGTCTTGATTGATGGTGGTGAGCAGACACGGTCCATCTGCATCTGCTCTGAAGGAAGCACTTGGACCTACAGAAAGAGTGATTTGAATATAATTTACATGTAAATGTCATTTGTTTCAAAGCATCAGAATGGCAAATTAGGCCCTGCAGATGACTATTTGCCATTAAATTATTAATGGTTCTGATAGAACTTTAGATCAATTTTTGTTGACTTTTCAGTGTTTACAGCCGCAGATTGAAATTTCCACAGTAAAGCCTACCTATCTAAAGAGGAGTCTGAGATTAATTTGGACCACGTGAAACTTACTTCTCAGTCCTGCAACGTAGCATTTCTTGTATGCCCCATAAAAATCCCTGCAGAAAGAATGTCAAAAACCAGTATGGGTGCTTTCTGAAATGCTTTCATTATAAAATTAACAGTATTTCAAGAATTTGACTTGATTTTACTTTTAGATTGTTTAATCCTTCGAGTGTTTTTTGCTTGAACTAACAGAGAAAGTTGAAACCCGTGGCAGAGAGAGCAGAAGCATTTCATACGAACATTCTGCATCACGTGGCATTTACAGAAAGGGGCATGTTCAGATGAAGTCTGGGCTTGAGACCACGGCCGCTGCGTGGGCAGCCTGGGTTCTGGCCTTGGACGCACAGAAGTGTCTAAAGAACTGTGTCCCTACTGCTGACAGTCACCCCCCAGCACATGGCTACCCTGTGAAAGTGCCAGAAACTCCCCCCATCTCTTTGGGGGGAATACCCCGCACACAGCTGGATGCCCCCCTCATGGCACAGCTGTCAGCACCTGGGTCCCCTGCCCTCTGTCTCTTGATGAGCCACCTCAGGGCACTTTATCTCACGGTAACTGTGTCCTGCTTAGAGTTGTCACAAATTGGGAAACAGTCGGTGTTAAGCAAGTAGGTATTTATTCCTGGCACCGTAAGAGAAATTTGAAAGAGCACTTTGTTACAAGACTGGACTGCTTGTGTAAAGCACCTTTTGATTTTGAATAATGTGTCTAAAGATTTCACTGTGATTCATAAATAAGGGTTGTTTGTACCTCTGATTTAGATAACACTGTAATTTGGGTGCTTTTCTCCCTTTTGTGGAGGTAACCAGTCGGGGAGAGGCCCACTTGGAGCTTAACGCCTTTCGAAGGAAGCATGATTGTGCACTGGTCATATCTGGGGACTCCCTGGAGGTGAGGCTGGTCTCCGACCAGACACCTGTCTGTCTGTCCGTCAGTGTCCCTGGGGGTGAGGCTGCTCTCCGACCAAGCACCTGTCTGTCTGTCTGTCCGTCTGTGTCCCTGGGGGTGAAGCTGCTCTCTGGCCAAGCACCTGTCTGTCTGTCTGTTCGTCTGTGTCCCTGGGGGTGAGGCTGCTCTCTGGCCAAGCACCTGTCTGTCTGTCCGTCTGTGTCCCTGGGAGTGAGGCTGCTCTCTGGCCAAGCACCTGTCTGCTTTTCCCGCCCGTGGGCCAAGGGTTTTCTGAGTCAGATGTACTTTTTCAGTTATTACTATCCGGGTGGTGGTTATGCAAGTTTCATGAGCCTTTATAGCCTGAAGAACTGTCATGGCAATACCAGAGGGGTGACTCTGTCTGTCCTTAACTATGTTCGAGGTTGACCTATTTTAGGCTTCTTCAAAGTTCTCCTTCGGCGCTAGGCCTCAAGCTCATTGTTAATAGCACAGCTCCCCGTGGAGTCTTGAGTGTGGCACCCACTATCTTGGCCTAAATGTGCCCAAACCAAGATTTCTAAGAGTGGGCCGTGGGACACAGGAAATGGGCTTGCGGCCCTGCAGGAGGGGCTAAGCCAGGTTCCGGAGCCCTGGAGCCTGTGCCCCAACTCCCTGACCTCTTTCCCTTCACCTGCCCTCCCGCCTCCCTATGGGCCCTCCCCAGGGATAAGCCCCGGCTGTGCTGGGGCAGGAGGTGCGGCAGCCTGCGGCCTCATCTCGGCTGTTTGTGTGTGCCTGGCCGTGTGCTGGCGTCGCCTGGACCCTCTGGCGGGGCATCCGGCACTGCGGCTCCTGGGCCTCACCTATCCTCAGCTGTCCCGCTGTTGGCTCAGAGGATTTCCCAGATACCGGGTCGCGGAGCAGTGTCCCTCCGCTTCCCAGCACTCAAACGTGCACTCCTCCTGCCCCCAGGCCCGCCTTAGACACACATGTCTTTTTAAAAATCTCTCTTTACAGTTCTGTCAGTGTGGTTTGTGAAGGAGCAGAAGTAGCTCCTTGTGTTAAATCCACCATCTTTTATGAGTATGTATTTTTAATTAACTGTTCTTACTACTTTGGTCCCCACCAGAGCTACACATAGTCGGTCAACACAGAAAACTGATGGTGGAAGAGCCCCCCGCCTGCCCCTCCCTCCTCCGGTCCTGCTCCCCAAACGCCCCGTCTTCCATTTCTGTGTCTGGGGCTTCTGGGGCTTCTGTCTGTCATCTCAGTGGTACTCTGTCCCTGCTTCATCATCCGCCCAGTACCTGCTGGTGGGGGACGGAGCTTACCGTCCCAGGTTTTAGGGGAAAGTGCATGAAGCCTCCCCTCGGCCCTTCGCGTGGCCGTCTGTCGGTGGCCCCCATGCACTCTGCACTCCGGAGGTTGGCTGAGACGCGTTGGCCTTCTGCTGTGCACACGGCACACGTGCATGTCTTCCACGGGCCACCGTTAGTGACGTGGGTTCTTGGCGCGGTGGGAGACCAAGACACACGCTGGTCTGCCTGTCGGAAGAGTTTGTTGTAATTGATCCGATGGTGTGAGCTTCATGGGTCTGAAGTAGGGCCTGCGGGTGGGGCGTGTTGTATCCTGTCTTATTAACGAAGTTTTTAGACTTGAATTGTAAGTGTCTGAGGGTGACGCTGTCGCCTGGGGGCAGTGTCCTAACCGCCTGGCACTCACTTTGAGCCCTGAAGAGGGTTGAGATGCGGAGCAGGAAGTGCACACGGGCTGTCGGGACAAACTAACGTGAACACGAGAGCCGCGGAGCCAAGGGAACATGGGCAGAGGAAGTAAGATCCAGTTGGTGCCAAGACATCCTACGGGGACGAAGCCGTGAGGGCCCAGGGGGCCGGAGGGGTGGCCGCGAGCTGTTGGCCACCAGGGAACAAGAGAAGAGAAGATGGAGGTGGCTGCAGACCCGAGGCACCCGGGCACAGTCCTCTGCTGTCCCGGTCCCGGCCCTGGTCCTGGTCCCGGGGAGGAGCATCCGCACCCCTGAGGGGCCCTGTGGGGTCAGGGGAGCATTGGTCCAGAGCGGGCGCAGTGCACCAGCCGTCCTAGGACACAACAGCCCGCGGTCCCCGGCAGGTGCGCATGCTGTCGGCGGTGGTGGGTGCCGTGGGGCCTCAGAACCCGGACCTCTGACAGGATATCCCACACACAAGGGGGCCCCAGGGTCTAAGGCAACTTTAAGGGGGTTTTGTTTTGCCGACCAAGTTGGAGACTTAGGTTAGAAACAGTATTTTATATTAAAGATCTTGTTTAGCCAGGGTGGGGCTGAAATCACCTGAAAAGAGACAAAGACTAAGCAGGAAGCTGTCTGTGGTGGGATCCCCCACGTCGGTCACGCAAGCAAGGCGGCATCCGCCAGCCGCGTGCAGACCACAGTGGGCCGTGGTGATGCTCAGGGTGAGATGCGGAGTCGTCCGCCCGCCCCGACCCCAGCTGCCCGGCCCTGCCTGGACCCTGACCACCACACGCTGCCCATCCACACGGACGGTTGTCTGTGCAGGTGCCCCGCTCCTCCCGTAGGGCCTGGACACCGGCCCTCCCACCTCACCCCTGCCTCCTCTGCGTGCCTGCAAGCCCTGAGTCCCCAGCCAGCCAGGCAGGGCGGCCATGAGCTGGGGAAGGGCACGCAGGCAGCGTGGCCCCGCATATGCCGGCATGAGGCTGTTGCGTTCTCCCCGCTCTACCCCTCGTGCCCCCGCAGACCATGGTGGGTGGCAGGTGCTCAGAGGCTCTGTTTCGCAGGTCTGCCTCAAGTACTATGAGCACGAACTCGTGGAGCTGGCCTGCCAGTGCCCGGCCGTGGTGTGCTGCCGCTGCTCGCCCACCCAGAAAGCCCACATCGTGAAGCTGCTGCAGCAGCACGCGGGAAGACGCACCTGCGCCATTGGTGAGTGCCCGGCCCACTCCGTCAGCAGGGGTGCTCGGAGAGAAACGATCTTCAGAGCTACGGGCAGCGCAGTGTGTTGTCTTAATAGCAGGTGGATTTCACCTGGGTGTTTTGAGACAGCTTCTCCGGGTAGAAGAGAGGCCAGGATGGGGTCTCGATGTTTGTGTCATCTCCCATTTCCGTGCCCCCAGGTGACGGAGGAAATGACGTGAGCATGATCCAGGCGGCAGACTGCGGCATTGGGATCGAAGGGAAGGTACGTGTGCCCTGTGGTCACCGTGTCCTCTGCGTGCTTCCCACCAGCCCTGAGCTGCACACTCGGGTCACAGGCGAACCAGCCGCCCTGTCTACCCCTTAGGAAGTGCAGGTAGGACGCGGAAGCTGCCAGCGCCAAACCCCCCACGTCCCCACGTCCTCGCTGTTCTTCAGGAGGCCTGGGACTAGTGCCCTGCAGTCTCCTCCCCGCCAGGCTCAGCTCAGGTGTCGCCAGCCCTCTTGCACACCTTTCTTGCCATCCTGGAACCCCCAGCTTCTTGCTCACCTTTGCACATCTGTGTCCGCAGCCAACCATGAGCTGTGGTTGGGGTCTGTCTTGTGTGCAAATGAGCCTGATTGCAGTCTTCCCCTCGGCCACTGTGCTTCCTGGTGCCTGGTGGCTTCAGGTAGCAGCCTCGAAAGGGCTCTCCTTGCCCGCCTCGCGCACCCCCCGCGGCTCTGGGAAGCGGCCAGGCGCTGTTTCGGGACCCCAGGGCAGTCTTCAAGGCAGGTTCGCTTCTCTTCCTCGTTTCTGTAATACCGACAGGCTCCTGCCATCCTGGCCGGCAGCCGCCTGACGTGCCCTGTCAGCCCGTCCCCTCCGAGGCTGTAGGGACAGCTTCCACCTTCAGTCGGTGGAGGCTGAGTTCTAGAAGCCCCTTCTGGAGGCGCCTGCTCCGCATGTGCCCTGTTTCAAGAAGGCACTGTGCTTGTTCCAGGAGGGCAGACAGGCCTCCCTGGCCGCGGACTTCTCCATCACGCAGTTCAAGCACATCGGCCGGCTGCTCATGGTGCACGGGCGGAGCAGCTACAAGAGGTCGGCGGCGCTCGGCCAGTTCGTCATGCACAGAGGCCTCATCATCTCCACGATGCAGGTGCCGGAGCCTGGCGCCCAGGGCGGGGCGGAGCCGTGGGGAGGGCAGGTGTGGGACTAACAGGCGCTCCCCTCTCTTGAAGGCCGTGTTTTCTTCTGTCTTCTACTTCGCATCCGTCCCGCTGTACCAGGGGTTCCTCATGGTGGGGTAAGTGGTGCAACTCGTGCATCTCAGCAGCCTTGCTTGGGGAGGACTTCTCATTTCCAAAGACGCTGCCAGAATGTTGTCTGAGTAACTCCACACACAGTCGGTATTCAGAGTGAGAACCCGGTGTCAGGCGCAGGACCCCCGCACCATCTTATTGTTGCTTTGTCAGGAGAATGTCTGAGTCCCTGGGGGGTGCCCGGGCCCCGTGGTGGCCCCATCCCAGCTGGGATCGGGGAGGCTGGGACACGGGGTCATGCCGGGGACATGACCAGCAGCAGACACACAGGCACAGGGTGCCGGGATGGGACACGACACGCCCACGTGGACAGGGGCAGAGTCTCGTCAGTAGTAACAAGATCTCATCTCTGAAGGTCCCCACACGGCAGCTTGGAAAAGTACGTCAGAGACTGCCGCTTGTGTGCAGTTTATGATTAAAACCGCCAGTGTTCTGTTAAAGGTGAATGAGTTAGAACTTCTCTTCCCCCCATCCTCACGCCAAGAGATAAAACCAGTGTGGCTGTTGGCGTGGCGTAAAGTCCACGTGGTGCCTCCTGACGCCTCCGCACCGGCCCCACGGAGCCCAGCACCCCCGATGGCCAGTGCGTTGCCCATGTGTGCTCACGCTCGGAAAGCAGCAGCGGGTCACACCAGTGCTGCCTGCACAGTTCAGAGCGCTCATCCCATCGGCGTAGCGTCCCTGTGACACGGGCAAGGAAGGAGGTGCCCAGGGACCCTGGGAACGTGCTGGGGGCCACAGGGCTGCTGGGGGACAAAGCCTGGGGCCGGCCTCGGACAGGCTGGCTGCCTTCCCGCGGCATTTAGTGTCTTTCCAGGGCTGCAAAGAACAAACACACGAGCTCTTTCGCCCTTTGGAGCTGTTTTAAGTACACTTTCTGAATGCGTTTCATCGGACAGCTCCCCGAATCCCAAGGTCCCTGATAATTTGAATGAGAGATGGAGAGCAGCAGGCTGGGCCATGTCAGGCTTTGCCGAACACGTTGGTGCCGTAAGTCGCCAGCGTCCCAGGGCAGAGCCGATGGCAGATGCTTCCTGCCACTCCTGCAGCTGTGTGCGCTGGGGCCCGGGCTGATCTCCCCGCCCGACGCCGGGCCGGACCTGAGGACCTGCTTGCAGATGCCGGTGCTGCTGTGACTGCCCTTGGTCTGGGCCCTGGGCCTTCTCACCTGCTGTCTCCCTGGCTGGGGCTCCTCCTCAGGGCGCTGGAGCAACGCCTTCCTGCAGGCCGCTGCGCCAGCTCTGCGTTGCGGCCCCCATTCCCGATGGGCCAGGCCCAGGGAAGGCTCCCGTCATGGCCTCGGCTCTGGCTTCCAGGGCGACCGGCGCCGTGCGCAGCTGTGTGCTGCGTGGCCACCAGCGTGGCCACCAGCCGTCCGCGGCTCTGTGCCCTCCCCGGGACTTTAGTTCCCCGTGGCCTCAGCCTTCCCAGTACCCCTCCCGTGACTGATCTTCAGAAGGCGTAGGATTTGCACCTGACGTTACTGCATCTGGAGTTTTTCCAGCGCACGGCTTCCCTGGCGGCAAACAAACACTGTTTCCCATTTTAAAACCATGGATTTGAAACATTCGGAGGAAAACTTCCGGGGCAGTGGTGATTACTCCTTAGACAGTAAAGCCCAGGCCGGTGAAGCCGCGGTTGTGGGCCTCACTGGATTCTTCCTTCGTCAGCGGGAGCTCCGAGTGCTTTTAAAGCTCCTGTTCGTGTTGGCTTTATTCGAGGTTTCTCCGCGTGTCCGTCATGTGAGGCATCTGTAGTTTTCTTCAGCATTTGGTGGGAGTGAGGAGAGGTGCTTTTACGTGAAGCTTCTTCACCGGAAAACCTTAAAATCAGTTTTGCCGTCACCTAGAAAACAACAGTCGGACGTGGGTGGGAAGGAAAGTGATGTTTTTATCAAAGTCTAAGGAGACCAGAGTCATGTCCTGAGATACATCTGTAGTGCCTCAGGGCCGTTGATGAACTCACCTCCACGTGTTTCAAGGTTTTTATCCTCCTTCGTGTCGTTGGCTCAGAAGGGCCGCTGACGCAGGCGAGGCTGCGTGGTGCCCCCAGCACAGTCCCTGCCACGCACTGTGGCCTCCCCTCCAGGAAGCACTCCTTGGCAAAGTCCTGGGGAAGCCCCGCATATCACAGCCCCTCTGAGAGGCTCACCGTGCGGGTCAACAAGTGGACGTCTCCACACGTGTCTGACCTTGTTGCACCAAACCCGTTCTTTGCCCAACACCTATCAGCATCGCACATTCTGAGCAGTACCCTCGGGGACAGGCCGACCTCAGCTGGCTGCAGGGCTCGCTCGTGTGACGGGTGCCCCATGTTGCGGGGGGGCCCGACGCGTCCCCATCTGCCGGGCTCTTCAGCCCTTTCAGCCTCCACATTCTAAGCAGGTGGGAGTTGTTCCGAGAAGACTGACAAAGTTAGGAATTTGGAAGAAAGGGGCGCCTGGGGGGCTCAGTCGTTAAGCGTCTGCCTTCAGCTCAGGTCGTGATCCCAGGGTCCTGGGATCGAGCCCCACGTCGGGCTCCCTGCTCAGCCTGGAGCCTGCTTCTCCCTCTGCCGCTCCCTCTGTTCTTGCTCTCTCTCTCTGACAAATAAATAAAATATTTAAAAAGAAAAAGAAAAATTTGGAGGGAAGTTTGGGCCGTAAGCCTGTTTAACCTCATGCAGGACTGACCACTCTGAAGCACATGGATTTCCGCCCCCGGGGGCTTCCACGGGCACACAGTGAGAGGAAGCAGGCTGAAACGCCCTCTCTGACACAGTGTGCCCTTCGTGACCCGCGGCCCTGGACGGGGCAGCACCGCCTGCACCAGTGACCGTGGAAGCCTGTCCGAGGAGACTGCTGCTCACACATAGAGCTTCCCACCTGGCTCTCCGCCCCTGGGTACCTTCCCGACACCAAAGCTTTCTCACAGGTGAAAATGTCATTTAAAAGAAATTCAGTCCTACTTCAGGAAAAACAACATAAATGCACTTTTCCTCGTTCCCTCTGTTGAGCACAGCCAAATTCTTGCAGATGTCCCAGATGGAACACACGTGTGCTCTGGCCCGCCGGGTGGAACACGCATGTGCTCTGGCCCGCCGGATGGAACACGTGTTTGCTCTGGCCCGCGGGTGGAACACGCGTGTGCTCTGGCCCGCCGGACACACAGCGTTCAGACAGCAACCCCTCTGCTCCAACCAATGCCATGGAAACGCCACCCCCATCTCCCTGCCAAGTGGGGAGCCGGGACCCCACACACACACACCCAGCAGCAAGGAGCAGCCCTCATCGGTGTCCCACAGAACTTGGGGGATGGCAGCAGCGCCGCTTCCCCCAGAGCAGCACCGGGAGACCCAGCATCCCAGTGGCACCCAGATGTCAAGTTTCAGTAGAGAATCACTCGCCACGCCCAGAACCAGGAAGGTGTCAGAGTTGGCCAAGAAGAGAATAGATGCCAGCCCCGAGGTGCCGTTGGTGTTGGAATTGTGCAACACGGTGTTAAAGCCGCCACGCGGACATACTTTAATGAGCAGCAGGAACACTCGGGGCAAACAAAGATGAAACGTGTCCGCTTAGAAATAGAAAGTAGAACCAAATGGAAACTGACCACCAAGCCCATCGTGACACGGACCCGACCCACAGTGGGGTGGAGGGCCCACTGAGGACACAGGACACGGGACGGCGGTCCTGTGAGCACCACGAGAGCCCGGAGACCAGAGCCTCAGGGGCTGCAGCTTTGTGTCCCTGGGGCTCTGGAGGGAGGACGGGGGTGCTGGGCTGGAGGAGAAAGAATGGCTGAAAACTTCCCAAATGGGTGAATTCAGAGACATCCACACCAAGACGTGCAACACAGAGACTCAGGAAGACAGAGGACAAACGGCATGAAGGGGGCGAGCTAGGGGAAGAGCAGCCCCAGAACCAGGCAGGAGGGAGCGGTGTGGGCACAGACGGCCACCTGCAGCGAGCTCTTCCTTCAGGAATGATGGGCGTACGCACACACCACACGTCCGAGAGCTTTCAGGGTCCAACAGGAAGAGAGCCTCCAGTTAGCAAACGGGCAGGAGGCACAAGCAGACGTTTCACCCCAGAGGATGTCGATGGCATGTGAGCGCGCACACAGATGGTCCCCGTCAGTAGCCGTCGGGGACATGGGGAGGGGGGATGCAGAGAAGCAGGGCCCCCCGCACGCGCCCGGCCCGGCGGCACAGCCCCTGTGTCCCCACAACTAGACTCTTGAGCTGATGACCCCAGGTGGCACTCCTGTTAGAATAAATGGAAGATCTCACAAAACGATCCGTGCGGTGAGTGTTCATAGCTGCATTATTTGTTTCAGCGAGCGGGTTACAGAGGCGGGCACACCCCCACCCACGGGGGTGAGCACGGCCACAGCAACTCCTGGAACAGCCTCCTGTTCAGGCTGAGGGGAAAGGCACGCGTGTAGCCTCGCCAGGGGGGTTACAGAGGAGGTGGGAGGGAGGTGGGTAGCGGGGCCCCCGGGGGTGGTGGCGGTTCTGTGTCCCCGACACCCTGGCGGTGAGACTGGGCTGCAGGTTTGCAAGATGCTACCGCGGGCAAACCAGGGCGAGGGCACACGGGATCTCTCCTACTTCCTACACCTGCCTGTGGGTCTACGGTGACTTCCAAATAAAAAGTTTAATTAAGAAAGAAAAATGGATTCCTGTGAGCATTTATGGCTCACAGACCAAGTTATTATATTGCAGGGCAAGTATTAAGTTGTAGGAACAATCATACCTGAATTTGCTGTTGAGGCTTTGAAACTGTGGCCTCTGATTGTAGAGGTGTATTGACCGTGGCACACGCCCCTCCCGCTAATCTGCCTCCCTCTTGGTTGTAAGGTATGCAACTCTGTACACCATGTTCCCAGTGTTCTCGCTAGTGCTGGACCAGGACGTGAAGCCGGACATGGCCATGCTCTACCCAGAGCTCTACAAGGAACTCACCAAGGTACGGGCACCAGGCCGCTGCTGGTATCCTAGCAGAGTATTTACTGCAAGAAAAAGTGCCAGTTGTGAAGCAGCTTCCAGACAGGTTTTATTTCTAGTTATTGCTGACATTTTCCTTTTGAGTTGAACTTCAAAAAGGGAAAACAATTGTTTTCCCGAATGTTTGCAGTAAAGCTCTGATGTCATGTTTTCAATTAAAATTTTAAAGGTGCTCTGAACCATTTGTGGGCCTGTGGTGACTGGGCTCATCCTGTGGCTGACGCGTGCTTGGTGCCCATTTCTGTGTGAAGGACACTTGCTGACGGTGGGGTCCCCTGGGGCGGGACAGACTTCTGTCCATCTGCAGCGGCATCCTGGCGCTTCAAACTCAGACTCACTGGCTGGGAGTCCCTGTGCCTGCCCAAGCCTCCCTCCGCTGTGCATTCAGAATCACGTCTGAGAAAAGATGGACAGAGGGTCTTTCACTGCAACCCAGGGCTGAGGTCGCAGGGATGCTGCTGGGGAAAGTCTGCACCCTCAAACTGCAGAAGATTCATTTATCTGGCCCAAAACTGTGTTCCGATGGAGGTATTCCTGAAGGAAGCTTCAAGGTTGTCAAATTTCTTTGCAAGACCATATTTCCCTAGCATGGAAAACAAGCTCCTTGGGCTGGGACACCTCCAGCTCTCCAAGTACAAGTTATGGTGACTTTGGAAGTTACCTGAAGCAACACTGAGAACCAAATCCACTAACCCCAATCAAATCCAGGTTTACAATTGATAACCTGAAATTACTGACTCAGATCCTTAAAACTCTAGCAGTATGGAGAAAGAATCAGTTGGCGTTAAGCACAGACTCAGCGAACCACTAACCACTCAGAGATGAGCTGGCCAGGCCATGTTGATCCGCAGGCTTCATGGTGGTGGCATAAGGGCTGGAGGGAATTGAGACTTAAAGTTCCTTGGAAAAAATAGAAAGTGCTCATGTTACGTTTACAATCAGGACAAAAATAAAGGTAGTTCACCAGCAGAGTGTAAAATAAAATAACAATCATGTGATAACATCATATTTAATTTGATAATAAAATGCAAATATAAGATTATATATATATCTCAAGCATTAGTATCCTGGTGATAATATTATTGTGAATATTATAAATAAAAAGAAAACTTTTTGGTTTAATATTCTAAAATGGTGAGACTGTTACCATTCCGTAAAGCTGAATAGGATCAAAGATCCAAAAACTACAGGAAGCTTTTGTGAGGAATTATAATTTTAGTAGATTATGTGTTTCCTTATTTCCATAAACTCCAGAAATGTTTACTTAAAGCTGCCTCACAGACGTAAGGGGGAAACAAGCCCTTCATCTATGAACAAAACTAGATGAGCTCCCTAAAATCGTAGGCGGTCAGTGTCTGAGCCGCTCGTGGTCGCTGCAGGTCAGCCCGCGTGACATCACCAGATGGTGAACGCTGTCTCCACCCACTGTCACTGTTGATAGGATTCCGACTGTAGGAACAAGAATATGGCCGCAGGGTCAGGTAGCCGCGAATCTGCAAATGCCCCCATTAGCTGGCACACTAAACACGAGAGTATGTCAGGAAACTGTGTTCAGTTCTGACGGAGTTGGGTCTCGTCTTGGTGAAGGCGGCCGGTTTGGAGTATCTCCGTACCCTCAAGTGAGGACGTCATTCCCACATTGTTGTGACAGGAGTTCAGTTACTTGTGATCTTGAGCTTCCTTTTCTTCAAGATCCAAAATCTATTCCTTTTGTGTTTATACTGTATATATTTCTTTCAAAATCTGATGCACTTCAAGTCCTTGAAAACAAAGTAGCACTAAAGTACTCAACCACCTAAGTTGATAAAAGTTGAGTTATATTTTCTTACCGAAGCCAGAGAGAGATTTTAAAGCTGCGTTACTTCTGAACGCGTGGCGGGTGACTTGGGAGGCCCGTCCGTGTGGCAGGCGCTAGGTCTGTGGGTGCTGGAGGCGTGGGCGGGACGTCATTCCTGGCTCAGGAAGCCCATGTTCAGTCCGGAAAGAAAACGCAAATTCAGGGCAAACTACATGTTAGTCAAAGCAGGCCGCAGGAGGAGATGCGGGCGCTCGTCCGCTGCATGACGCGTCCAGCCTGTTCTGAGCAGAAGGCCAGGGTCACAAGAGATTCATAAAATACTTTCAAAGGTAATGAGGGGAGGCAGAGTACATATCCTTTGCAAAACAGAGAGGAAAGTAGCATGCTTTGAAAGAAAATACCGTGTTTATGCTTATTCGATCGGGTGTCTTTTTACTCTGAGAGTGTGAGTCAGAACCAGGCATTGCAGCTCTGGCTTACGTGCTCCAACAGGATCGGCCATTCCGGAATACAAATGTTTGCTCACGGCTCTATCTGGAGAAGCCTGAGCCCAGCCTGGAGTCAGTATCTGTTCAGTAGTCCATGAGCAGGTGAGGGAGTCCAGCAAAGAAGCAGCGTTCCCCTCCCCTCCCCTTCCTAAAGCCACATCGTTTTCATTCCTTGCAGAAAATGATGTGTCCAGAACAATTTTTGGTATTCCTCTTTTAAAGGTCAAATTCTGCTTTGAATGCTCACACTTCACTCATGAGGAATAGCCACTTGCAATTTCCTGGTACTGCCACGACACAGGGACCTTGTGTGCCCACCGCCCTCCCAGCTCCGCAGAGGACTCTGTTTACCCCAGATGGTCTGTGGCCTCTTAGGGAAGGCCACGCGAGCCTGAGATCCAGGGGTCACCCACGCTGACCTGAGCCAGCCCACATGGTCCTAAGATACCTCAGACTTGCTGCTGTGGATTCCATAACCAACATGTCATTTTATATTCATAATAAGTAACCTACTAACTGCAGAGGGTTTGGGTAGAAGCTGAACTAATTGTCAAGATAATCAAGTAGGTAATGTCATACAGTCCTTCATCAAAATCCTGGACACCATCAGACACACAACTGTTAGGATTGCTTCACTATTTTTTTATTTCCTGTTGAATTTTTACAGAGTGGTTTTAGCTTTGAAATGTGCATTTGTATTCTTATATAATTTTAGAAATAACAGTGATAAGGCAGGAAAAAGAAATGAAAGACAGAAATTAGGGGAGGACCTGTTTGCAGATGACATAGTCATCTGTGGAAAAGCCCAAAGAATGCACAAAACCCTTCTAGACTAGTAAGTTTGGTAAGGTTGCAGGATTCAAGGAAAAAATACTCTTTATCCTTTCTAATTCTATATACTAGCAGTGGACAATTGAGGTCTGAAAAATGTTTTTGAACAGTGTTTTGCAATAACCTAAAAATGGCGAAGCTGGTGTAACTAACTGTGTGCAGGACGTGTGTGCTGTGGGACACCATCCAGAGGGATTTTGGAAAGTGCAAAAAGTGTGTTGGAAAGCTGACAAACTGACCCCACAATTTACATGGAAACATAGGAGAGCTAGAGTTAGCAAGACCATTTTTAAAAAGAGGAACAAGTTCGGAAGACTCACTCTACCCGATTTCAAGACATTCTGTGCAGTAGTGACCAAGACAACAGGTTCTTGGTGGAGGACAGACACCCGGACCAGTGGGGTCGACAGAGAGCCCAGGGAAGAGCCACGGGCTTCATAGCTGATCTTTGACAAGCATGAAGGGAAACCCAAAGGGGAGGGACGACCTTGTCAGCAGATGCTGCCAGAGCCACCCACAGAAATGGAGCCTCCACCGTCACAGTTTTGGGGAAACGCACTCAAAATGAGTCATAGACCTAAATGTAAAATGTAGAACTATTTGCCTTCTGGAGTAAAATGCAGAAGAACATGTGCATGACCTTGGGGCAGGCCTAGTTTTTAGATACAGGGTCAGATGCATGATTCAGAAAGGGGAAAATTGGTAGCTTGGACTTTATCATAATTCAAGACTTTTGTTCTGTGGGTGGCACTGCTAAGAAAATGAAAAAACAAGCTACAGACTCGTAGGAAATATTTGCATATCACACTTCTGACAAAGGACTTATATCCAGAAAATATAAAGATCCCTCAAAACTCAGGAAGAAGACAAATAGTTGTTGAAATGGGAAAAGCCCTGAACTGACAGCACAGCATGGATCACAATGTGCACGTGGCCAGTGAGCATCTGGAGACACTCTGCGCACCACCATTTCTCACGTGGGGACGGCACCGCTGACGGGCACACGGTGCAGCATGGCCACCCCGGGGCACGGTTTGGCAGTTTCTGGTGAAGTGAAACATGCACTGAGCACGTGACCCAGCATTTACTCAAGAGAAGTGTAAACGTGTTTACACAGAATCCTGTAGACAGATGTTCACGGCCGCTTTGCCGTAATCGCCAGTAACTGCAGCCATACCATGCCGTGTCCAGCACCATGGGTGAATCTTAAAAGCATTCTGCTGCACAAAAGAAGCCAGACTCAGAAGCTCGTATGATCCCGTTTGCCTGGCACCCTGGGAAATGCAGAACTTGGGGCCCAGAGGACAGGGGGCCGGCGGCCCGGGGTTGGGGTCGGGGACAGAGGGGCAGAGGGAGGCAGCTGTACCCACACGTGCGGACGCTTGTCCTCCACGCATCTCAGACCAAGACGGATTACTGAGTGTTCGCATGACCTTCAGGTGGATTAACCTTTCCTGAGATTTGCTTGATTTAATTTTTACAGTTTGATTGATATGTAATAGAAATGTACTTTCGGGTCTCTAAGGTCTAACATTGAAATACTGAACATTTGCTAGGTTTCTGGCTTTATGCTTATTTTATCCACATGAGTACGCGCTGTTATCATTTCTATTCGCGGAAGACGAGACCACTCACAGAGGCTGAGTGTGTGCCCTGGGGTGCCACGGGCAGGACTCAAACCCAGGTCGGCCGGGTCCTGAGCAGTGTCTGCGCAGTGCCTGGACAGAGCTCCTGCTGGAGGAGTTCCCATCAGCCAGAGACGGGCCGTTCTTCCTCTCCTAACATGGAAGGAGAGGCATGTGGGCCCAGGAGAGCCCCTGCACACGTGGCCTGGGTCTACCGGAAGTGAACTGTGTTCATGCATATTTGTGCCACCAAATACAATGAGACTCTCGCTTTTGTCTCTCTGAGCTGAAGTCTGGGAGCCATTGATGAGTATCACATCCAGGAGCTGGTGGTTTATGCATATTTTTCCATTATTTCTCCAGTTATTTTATTGACAGTTTTTGTGCCTATTCTGTAGTGTTTTGCCTTATTAATCTACAGTCTGCTTGAATGCAAGAGCTTTGACCTGAGTCAAACACTGTGTGGGGAGTTTGTAGCTCCTGATGCGAGATATAGCACAAACAGCCCCCCATTTGTATCTTTCACTATATAAACTGAGAGTTATATCACATAAATAATAGTGAAGAGATGTCAGCAAGTTTAGCTACAGAGGAAATCTTTTATGTTTACACAAAAAAAATTAAATTTAAGTTCTCTTTTAAAATATTCAAATAAAATTAGCCACATACTTAATTACATGAGTTTTATCAAAGACCAAACACCTGCTGGTATCTGGTCAGAGAAATGCACTTGGGAAATACATACTGAGATATACACATGTTGCACCTGAAGTTTCCTGCCTTTTTAAAAATCAACATTGCCTTCTAGTGATCTCTGTTATATCGAACCTTACTTTTCACACGTGTAGTAAGGACTCAGGCTCAGCCGGTATTGCCCAGGAAGATGCTGGAGTGGCCACACCTGCCTTGTGGCATGCGTCTCTTTTGAAAGGTTGTCACTCGACTCTAGGTGGCCAGGCTCAGATCTAGAATTCTCTGGCTGTCATCCTGGCAACACGCCCCTGGGCTTCTCTTCCATAACGGCTCGTTCTTCATTGGTGGCATTTGGCAGAGCTTCCAACTCTGGTCATGTGTGGCTGACCCTTGAATACCGTGGGGTCAGGGGCACTGGCCCCCTGCACAAACATCTGCATATCACTTTTGACTCCCCGAACACTCAAGGACTAACGACCTCCTGGTGACTGGAAGCCTCACCCACCCTGATGAACATCTGATTCCGTTGCATGTGTTATATGTTGTATTCTTACCATAAAGTAGGCTGGAGAAAAAAAGTTAAGAAAATTACAAGGAAAAGCAAATACATTTACAGTACCGTATTTATTGAAATTAAAAAAAAAAAAAAAAAACTCCGCATGTTAGTGGACCCAGGCAATTCAAACCCAAGTCAAGGGTCAACTATACGCTGCTTAGCGCAGCTAACCTGCGGCGTGGACTTGTGGGAAGCACCGAACTTTTCGCACTTCTTCATGTGTAAGTGGAGACAGCGTCTGCCCTGTCTAACGGAGATGCTACACCGCATGAGAGGGCTGACGCACGGGTGTGACCACACGGGTCTGGCAGTGGTCCCCAGGGCCTTTGTCCTATAGCCTTCCATCGTCCCCACGGCCTCAGTAGACAAGCACTGCCGTGGACCAGCCCTGAGCACTAACAGGCCAGTGCGGTTGGCGAATGGCAGGTCTCCGTCTTGGGTGTGGAGGGAACGCAGGCCACGTTCTTCCTTCATGGACGCATCCCGAACAACCCAGTCAGAGTTGAAAAAGTGAAGGCTGTTACCTGAAAACCACTCTATTTGTCCCTCTTGGACTGACTTGCGTGGCCTCTTTTCCAGAAGGGACCTGTGAGCTGGTAAACGCCAACCTCTGTTGTGATAGACCATCCTTTTTCATCTGGAGAAACTAAAAAGTAAATACAGGAATATTTGTTCCCAAGAAATAAGGAAGTAAAGGGAGTTGTTTTCACGACGGAGAAAGCCTTGACCCGCTAGTGCATCTCCGTGTTTGCTGACCTCCATCGACATCTGGGGAGCCAGGGAGCCCATGGCTGTGGCCTAAAGGTCACCGGAGGGCGAGCAGAGGGTGCCGGCGCTCTGGGCCGCAGGTGCACGCAGTGGGCACGGGGGACAGTGAGTCTCGGGCTCGGGACCTGCGGGTCTTTGAGAAGACACTCATAACTGGCTGTTTGAAACCTGTGAGTCACACGTGTTGCTCCACTCTGCTAACTAAGATATTCCACTGTTTACCCTAGGGAAGATCCTTGTCCTTCAAGACCTTCCTCGTCTGGGTGTTGATCAGTATTTACCAAGGTAAGACTTAGGGCCTGGACGGAGGGTTTCTTGTCTTCTGCTGGCGATGTTGTTTTTCCCTCTCGGTTAAAGTCCAAAGGCTTTACGTTTCATCAGTAGCTAACACTGTGTTTTGTTTACCCCGTAAACCAGTATTCTAGCTATTGGTCATCCGGACCCTTCACAGTGCAGTGTGGATGGGTGGTTCTTTACTGATTAGTGTTTTTAATTAAATGTTAATCCAGAAAAATTTTACCAACCACGTACATCATATGCCCCCACACAGTGGTTTCCTTTGGCAGAGTGATGTCCAGACCTTGAGAAATCTCACTTATGTAAACGGAAGTCATTAGCCATCCTCTGATGAGTGTTCCAGATAAATGAGAGATCGCTGGAAGTGACTTAACAGATTAGATACATCGAAAGCATAATTTCCTCCAGATACTAAAAAGTTCCTGAGCCTCTCTTTGGTGCCACGTCTTCTTTTATTCACAGTCCAGAGTTTAAATTGACTGTTAGTCGACACGAAGTCTGGGGGTATACGTAGTCCCGTCTTCCCAGCGTGGTGTGTGTCGGTCAGCCACGGCCGTGATGTGGCACGTTTCCCTCCAGGCAGAAGGAGCTGTCCTCTGAAAGCCTGTCCCCGCGCTTGTGTTGCAGGCGGCATCCTCATGTACGGGGCTCTGCTCCTGTTCGAGTCCGAGTTTGTGCACGTGGTGGCCATCTCCTTCACAGCCCTCATCCTCACTGAGCTGCTCATGGTGGCCCTGACTGTCAGGACGTGGCACTGGCTGATGGCGGTGGCCGAGGTCCTCAGCCTGGGCTGCTACGTGGCCTCGCTCGCTTTTCTAAATGAGTATTTTGGTAAGTTGCCATGGGAATCTTTTTTGTCTGTTACTGGTTTTTATACATTTTTTATTGTTACTTCTTCATACACTGCCTTAAATTGCAAATCACAATAAAACCCACATCAGAAAGCTTCATTACACAAAAAGCTTATTGTTGTGGAAAGATTAAACTCCTTGCAATATTTTATAAAATTCAGATTGTCACCATCTTGGCTTTTTTAAAAGTTTATATTGAAGATGTGCTGTTCCCAAAAATTCTTTCCACAAGGGCTGCGTTTTTGTCCTTTTGCCTAACTGACAAGCACTTGCAGGATGGAGTCCAGGCCCACCTTTGGACACGGAGCCCACGGGGCCCACGTTGGTGGCCTCAGCCCCAGTAGCATCTTCAGTGTGTCAGAAGCGTCGAGGACTCCGTGGCGGGGTCCCTGGCTGCACACATCCCAGCTCCACCATTATCAGCCTGGCGACCTTGACAGAGTGGCCTCACAGAACCTGTTCCAACACGTAGCTGCTGGGACACACTCAGACTGTGGCTGTGGTTGCCACCAAGCTCGTCTGTGTCACCCTGTTGTACAGATCGAAGGGAGACTGGGCCGGACTTGCCCTAACCTCTGCAAGCTCATGTGACTTGCCCACGCTTCTTCCCCAGAAAACTGGGGAAGGACCCACCTGACCGCCTCGGAGCACTTGCTGCGGGAGGAACTCACTGCGCACAGAAGGCCCGTGCCACTCGCTTTGGCACAGCGTCCCCACCAGCAGCTCTGGTCTGCCCTCATCTCGGCCAGCTGGTCACTCCCTGCCCCCAATCCCGGGCCTTTCCATCCAGAGTTTGTTAGTCACATCCCTGGGCCGTCCCAGAGTTGATCAGTGTGGCCCACGGGACCACAGAAGATGCTTTTTAGGGTTTTTAGAATTAGGGCACCGAGAAGAGAAGGAATGTGGTCAGATGAGCCCAGAGGCAACGTTCATCCTACCGGTCGTCACCGTCCGGTGCTCCAAGGCTCTGAGCTGGCCCGAGCCCCCGTAGGGCGGAAATGGTCACCCTGTCCACACCACACGTAATAAACACGGCTCGGGCTGCTTTCCTGATCTGAGGTGAAATTTCCCAGAGGATTTTTCAGAAAAGGGAAAACAGCATCGTGTCCCTGGTGGTATTGTCAATGGCCGTAGCCACAGCTGAAGACGCACCTCGCGTGCTCACCCTCGCTGTGTGAGGCCGGTTAGTTGCGGGCCCTTGTCACCCCTGTGTGACTGGTGTGGAGGCCACGACCTCCACTACTTGCTGAAGTCCACGCATCCCATGGACCAGCAGCAGTGTCTGCAGCCTGCCCCCCAGGGGCCAGGAAACCCGAGGACCTGCAGACAGCCGCTCGTCGGACTGCTGTCCACACAAACAAGCCCTTTAAGTTCTCTCACTGAGTAGTGAGTTCCCGTCAGCTGCCCGGCCTGCTGTGCCGCGAGGCTCGTCGGTGAGCCCGACAGGCATGTTCTCAGGCAGAGGCTGCTGGAGAAATGACACACCCCACAGAGGTTCCCACCAGCCACGTTGTGGCTCCCGGTGAGCAGAGAGCCGACAGCTGGGAAGACAGCAGCAAACCTGGGGGAGGGGGGAGGGGGGCGGCGAGCTGCGTCCAGGGGCCCAGAGCGGCGTGGGTGGGAGGGACCCTCCGGGAGAAGCACGCTAACAAAGAGCTACGTAGCAGGAGTGGAGAATAAAGCCAAGGAGCCCTCCAGGAGGTGAACAGAGAGGTGAAGGGTTGGGGGAGTGGTGAAAGCCAGGGAAATTCCAGGTTCGTCCAGGAGGCCTGCCCTCTGGGGCCCCAGGAGAATGTACAGGAACAACCCAGATCTGAAGTCCGTGTGTTTGCAGGCGGAAGCGCCTGCCAGGGACAGTGACAGGACCCACGCCAAGACCCAGCTTCCTCAGAGGCTCCAGACGCTCTCAAGGATAAAAACCAAATCCCCGAAGCCCTGGGGAGAAGCCGGCTCAGCGTATGCCGGGGGCCAGGGGTCGGGAGCAGGAGTGCCTCCGGCAGGGCCCACAAGCCGCGGAGAGAGAAGGAGGTGGTGTGGACGCAGTCTGTGAAGGCCACTTCTGGAAGCGTCGTCCGAGGACGCAGGCTGAGCAGAAGGTGATTCAGTTGGCAGCAGTGTCCTCGGCCCTGCCCTCTGGGATGGGCTGTCCCTCGGGGCACGGACGTCCTGGGTGCCTCTGCAGGAGGCCAGGAGGCTTCCAGAAATTCTCCACATTCAGTGGCCCCTTTTGGAGCAGGTCACACCCTGGGCAAGGGTTCTGCTCCGAGGCAGCACCAAGGAGGCTCGAGCTGTGCTGGGCACCACTGGGCCTGGGTCTGGGGCTGGCCTGTGTGGCTCCCGCCCCGCCGTGACTTGCCGTGACCTGCCGTGGGAGCATCACTCCTGTGGCTTCTCAGGGGCATTGGGGCGACTCACCCAGACCCCGCCTGTGCAGATGCAGGACCCCATAGCAAGGACCTTGGTGGTGAGGGGACAGGGGAGGGCCCATCGGACCCTCAGAGAAGGAGCCACGTGTGTGGCGGTGACACAGGTGAGCACTTCAGAGAGCAGGCGTCTTGACGTTGGCGCGTGTGGGATTGCGACACGGGGGGGAGGTGAGGGCAGAGTCCCGCGTGGTGCTGGGGATGAGGGTGGGGGGAGGGGCCCTGGAACCTAGATGACTTGCACTGACAGGTGCGGCCGGACTTGCCTACCTTCAAATGCTGGTGGGCCCTCCCTGGTCAGTTACCTAACTAGAGCGTTGCCGTGTGTATGTCAATGTCACGGTTCATCTTAGCACTGTTGGAAAATTCATCTTAAGGCGAAAGCATTGACCCTTGAAAATCGAAAAGTCTACATGTATTTTCTGTTACAAGCAGCATTTCAAATGCACACCAGCTGTCTCTGGGATGAGTTGTCTTCACCAGGAGGGAAGAGAAGATCCTCACGCTTCTATTAAGTGCAGTAACACAGTGTACCGTAAAGTCGTGTGGGGTGAAGATCGGTGGTAAAGCTGTACCACGGAAGCATCTCTGCTCTTCACACCAGAACTGCAGATCACAAAATGAGTGTGTTTGGGCGAGTGTCAACAGCAGGAATTGGGTATTTCATTCCTTTGTCGTAACTAACGTATAAATGGCAGAGAAGTAAACGGAATTCCACTATAAGTGTAGACATGGGGTGAATTCACATTTAAGCATCTACTCAATGGCAAATATATGGATAGAAAAAATATAAAAAGGTAATGTTTTTATATTAAAAGAAACATTCATGGGGCGCCTGGGTGGCTCAGTCGGTTCAGGGTCCGACTCTTGATTTCGGCTCAGTCCTGATCTCAGGGTCGTGAGACTGAGCCCCATGCCGGGCTCCACGCTTGGCGGGGAGTCTGCTGGAGGTTCTCTCTCCCTCTCCCTCTGCCCCTCCACCCTTAAAAAAAAAAGGGGGAAACATTCACACACACACAGAAAATAGATACAGCACCTAAGAAACTGACTATTTTCAAATTATAATGTCTTGTTACTTTTTTAAAGAATAAATATTTAGTATATTTTCCTGTATGATTAACGACTAGGAAAAATGTCGGTTTATTTTTGTGTCATTTCATTTTAATACGTGTGTTTCCTTCATCTAGTGATATTTACAGAACACAAAGCAAAACACTAAATTGGAAAAATATACTGCTAAAATGAACAAACATAAAATGGACATAAAACTGAAATAAAAGCTGCAAAGACAAACCATGGTCACTCAGGGACGATCACCTTCCTCATATTTAAGGGCCGTAGTTTTAGGTGCAGATGGCTCGGACACGCCTCCCTTCCTGGCGTCTGGAGCATAGCCGTGCACACGTGGGTTTTGCACTTTGAGAGTAAATCCCTTTGGAACCTTGAGATCTGGATCCGACGGGGGAGTGTTGGATGATACGCTTTCAGTCGGTTCAGTTATGCTTTAAAAACTCGTGTGCGGACAAGCAGTGACAGGAGGTGTTAAAACCAGAGTTACAAATGTGTTTCCCACGGTCATTTTTACTGCTAACCACTCACGGTGTCCTGATAACTCCCTCAGTCTGTCCTCTGTTGTCTTCATTCCGGTTTTGTGTTCAAACAGGTGTAGACGGAGTGTCTTCCGGAGCTTTCTTAGGTCCGTGAAGCCTCCTTTCCTCCACAAGTAGAGAAATTCAGCAGAAGTGCTGGAGACACGTGGCTAATGAGAGCAAGCTCCCTCTGTTCCTTGGTGACTCTCTTCGTGGCACAAGCAAGCGTTTGCCGTGGGCTTTTCCCCGCCGGGTGCTGAGGGCTGGCGCCCAGACCTCCGAGTGTCCCTAAGGGCACCATTCACCCCTCCCTGCAGCACATTTGCCTTTTCATCTTTAGTGGTTGAGCCCCTGGAAAACATTTTCAGGGTGTTTCAAATATGGTGAAATCCAGACTATATCCAACCCTCTGTGGGCTGGGATACACTCAGATTGACTGTGTATGTGTGTAAAATCCGTGACTCCAGTGGGCTTCTCCCATTGGTAGGACCAGCTCTGGGTGTCAGCTCTTCACTCACTTCTTCCTGTGAAATTCAAATAGCCCAGCTTTGTTACGTGAGCATAAGGACGAGCCGGCGGGGTCCCCTCGGGTGACGGCCCCACCCACCAACACAGCCGGTGAGACTTGGATCACACAGGTGTGTGGTGTCGCCTCCCAGGCCAAGCACCACAATCCGTGCGTGGGCCTCCACCCGCTGAAGGGCATTTGGGGATGTCACACATGGTCTCTAATACTTTAGTCTCATTTATTCTGTTCAAAGAACTCGTTACACCTGGTAGACAGGTGTAGTAAGGACCGCCTGAGGTCCCGTGTGGGCTGGTCCCTGCAGCGCCTGGCAGTGACGTGAGGAGGCTGCAGATCTGCGGCTTCCGGCTGTGAGGGCCCCTGGGCGCCTAGGCTGCCTCTCACACTTGTTCCTGTGTCTCCTACAGACGTTGCCTTTATCACAACCGTGACCTTCGTGTGGAAAGTGTCGGCCATCACCGTGGTCAGCTGTCTGCCGCTCTACGTCCTGAAGTACTTGAAGCGAAAGCTGTCCCCTCCCAGCTACTCCAAGCTCACGTCCTAGCGCACCGCGGGACCGGCTCCAGCAGCTTGGGGTTCCTGCAGGGGTGCAGGGAGGTCGAGGGACCGGAGCCCAAGAGGGGAGGCAGTCTGGATGGCACCAGGCACCCCCAATCCCTGCGGGAGGACACATCCCCTTTCTGTTCTTTTTCTGTTTTTCAAAATTTAATTTTCATATCAAACCACTTGAGTTTCTATCAAAATGAGCCCTAATTATCTCACTATTACTGTAAAGCGTTCCTCTTACTCTGGCGTTCTGAGAATTAACATGCAAGTGTATTTAATATTCTGCAGTTTCCTGACATTCAGACTCTCCTTTGACGTCCTGTTGTAGAAAGCCATTTCTACATGACTAGAATAAAATCTAGATGCTGAACGCGGGCATCTGTGTTTGCTGCTGCTGCTGCCCGGAGCCCGAGTCGCGCCCGCTTCCATCGCACGGGGACTCCGGCTCCGGATGAAGACACAGCCCCTCTCTTGGCGCGCCCTGAAGCCCGGCTGGCGGGAAGGGGGTGTTTCTGCACGCGAGTCCACGGCTGCCGCCACGAACGCACAGTCCAGGGCATTGCTGTGAAGTAAGCCTGTTGCTAAAGTTGGTATTTGTGAAAGTCACAGTAAAACTCCAACACCGCGTGTGGACCTGTGCCCGACGTGTCCCACTGGCCTTGTCCCTGCGTCTCCTGCCGCTCAGCACGCACACCTGACTGTTGTGACAGAAGAAGCCCTTTGCCCTCCCACTTCCCGTGAGAAGCTCAGTCGTGTTGGTCAAATAGGGCCCTTCTGTGGGGCGCGGAGGGGGTCCCCTCACTGCGTGTAGCACCCCGCTGTCACTGCGTCGTGGCCCATGTCACTACCTGTCCTTTCCCGGGAGCATGAGGGGGCGGGTCTCAGTCGCTGAGGGGGGACTGGAGGGGGCACTCGCCCCATTTCCTGAGGCGGGTGCTGCAGCCCCCCTTCCCCCCGCACCAGGAGATTCGGGTCCGTTCGCGCTCTTCAGCCCAGCCTCCCCCAGAATGCGGCCCGTCGGCCATCGCTGGGCCGGCGGGCGGCGGCCTCGGGCAGCACCCAGCCCCGCTCCCCGGTGGCATCTTCCCAAAGAGGAAAACCGTCAGCCACAAGGAAAGCACGCGGTGCGCGGAGCTGCCTGGCACTCGGGTGTGTGCGCCCGAGGCCCCGCCGCCCACGAGGCGTCGCTGTTTCCAGCCTGGGAGCCGGCGGGTGGCGCTGCGGGGCTCCTGTCCTGAGGGCACGGCCCGCAGCTCTGCGGCCGGGCGCGCACCTGCAGGGCAGACGGGAGCACACGGAGTTTTGGGGGCACAGAAGCCTCCGCCGCCCAGCACGCGGCCTGTGAGGATGTGGGATGTCCTGGAGCAAAGGCGTGGCTGTTTTAATAAGCCCGCCCCCTTGGGGTCAGTGTGTTCAGTCATAATAAATTGTAAGTGACCCCAGAAAAATGGGAAACCACGGACCTTAGGGACGAGTACTTCAGAGCGACTTTAAAGACACACTTTTATGAGCCCTAAATTATGGGCTGGACTCTTAAGCGGACAGAGTCTGACACTAGTCCCGAGATGTGAAGACCCGTCACGTCCACACTTTGGGAGGTGAAGACACCCTCGGGCCCAGCCAGCTGTCCTCGGGGCGAAGTGACTCCATGGCGGGAGTAACGGAAGCTCACAGCAGTGAACCACAGGGACAGCCGTGGTTCCAGCCACTGCCTGGTGCAGGGTCCCACGGCCCTGCTCCGGTTCTAGTTTACGGACCAGCGCTCCAGAGAAGGGAGGGCGCCGCGCAGGGAGGTCTGTTCGTGAAAGCCATCCAAGCGCCTGGGACCCTAGCATTGGCTGTTCTCCGGGCGCAGCAAGTGCATTTTAGCTGTTTGATAGAGTAGCCGCGTCTCCCCGTGGGTCCTTCCTGCATCGTGTGCGGTGCCCCCCCCCCCCCGCCGCACGTGTGGCCAGACCGAGGGTCCCGCTCCGTGAGCTCGCCCGTGGAACACCCTCGGTGACGGTGACGTGGAGGGGAGCACTCTCCTCTGGGGAGGGAGACTGAAGCGGGGGAAGGAGCCCGGAGGGCAGCTGTGGCGCGGGGAGCACTCAGCGCTCAGCACCCAGGGTTCGGGCCGAGGGGAAGCAGCACATCAGGCAGCCTGGGAACAGGGACAAGGGGAAGGGAGGGCAAGGTCTGGGGGCGGAAGGTGCTGGAGGGCCTGGCACTTTTACAGACCAGACCGCGTCAGGACAGCCCGCGAGCGGTTCAAACTAAGGAGGCAAGTGGGCACGAGAGGGGCCAACGGTGTGCGGAAGGGCTGAGTCTGTTTTACCCCAAGTGCCTCCCGCCGCTGGTTCTCACTGGTGCGTGAGGTAGACTTGCACCAGCGGCGGCCGCGGGCAGGCGGGTGGGCGGGCTGGTGGAGGGACAGGTGGGCGGCTGCCCTCTACAGCTTTGTCCTGTGCCAGACGAGTGACTGCTTCTGAACATTGAGGGCTAAGCTGTGTTAACACAGCCTGTAAACTCACCCCAAGAAACCAAAGCAGCTTGTGGGAGTGGCCGTCTGTTCCTTCCCTGCTTGGGTCAGACAGAGAGGCCCCCTCGTCCAGGTGGGATGGTCCTGGAGCACCTGCCCTGGGCCCTGCTGCTCCTTTCCTGGCTCCTGAAGTGCGAAGGCTCGGGGACTCAGGCAGCGGACCCCAGCGAGGAGCGGACTCCCACCTTGCGGGAGGGTGGCCAGAGCTCCTGCACCTCGAGCCTGGCTGGAGGCCCGGCGGACCCTTCTCTCCCGCAGCTCCCCACAACACCGTGAAACCCTGGAAAGGCTCTGCCATCCAGGGACGCAGGTCAGGGGCCGCTACCCCTGTCGTCTGGGGCCCCAGACTTGCAGTTCTGCCTGCCTCATTCGGTGTCGTCACATCCCCCCTGGACACTGTAAACACAGTCCAAGGGGCTAGACCCCAAACAGATGCCACCCCCACCACGTCCCTCGGGCTCTGAGCCCGAGAAAACCCCCCAATGGCCCACCTGGTTCTCCAGAGTTCACGGCCCCCTGATCCAGGGAGGGGCTCACCTCCCTCGACCCCAGCCCGTGCCCCCCTGAGATGCGCCCACAGTCAGTACCTGTGACCAGGTGGGTCACCAGGGCTGACCGTGGCCCTACCCTACTTCCTCCCGACTTCTGTCCAGGCTGGCCAGGTTCTGTCCTGGGATTTCTCAGCGGACATGGGAGAGAAGCGGGTAGGCCCTGGCCCTGGTCTGGCCTTCGTGGGGAGGAAGACACCCTGAGCTGAGGGCTGCTCGTGTGTGGCCAGACCACACCTGTCACGCCCTGTCCCCCACCCAGGTCTCGAAAGAGGCCCTCGGGTCCCTGGAGGTAGGCTGGCCTCGTCCCCATCCCAAGACACAACAGTCACCTGACGCCTCTGAAAACGTTGGACAGCGTGGGACAGTGGAGAAACCGAGGCATGGGAAGTTTAAAGCCTGGGAGGGCAAGGTGCTCCTTCTTAGAATGATCCCAAATCTGAGGTGCACAAAACACCTGGTCCACCTACCTCCCCAACTGTGCGGGTGAGGACCTGAGGGTCACCGTGTTGCACCCCCACCAGGAGAATGGTCAGGCTTTGCTCCTCCTGGTGCCACCCCCCCAGGCAGCCAGCTGCCTCCGTCCCAGCGCGGGGGGCCACCTGCCCAGACGGAGGCCAGCAGGACTGGCCTGGGGCATCCTCCATCCCAGGACCCGCCCCAGCCGGGACCCACAGTCGAAGCCTCCGGTCGCCCCGCGTCTCCGCGCAGCCCGGACTCTGGGGTCCTGGCAGGACTCCTGCTGCAGTCACCTCCAGGCGTGTCCCCACGTGGTGGGGCTTTCCTGCAGCTTCTCTCCCGAAAGCTTTCATCTTGGAATAATTCTCGGCTTTCAGAGAAGCTACAAGACAACTGAGCTCCCCTTTCCTCCCGCACACGCCCTGGGCCGAGGGGCTCCGTCCTGCAGCCTCCCCCTCAAGGACGGCGGACACCCCGTCTCCCGGTGATGTCTGCTCCGTCCCGGAACCGAGGCACTTGGCCTTCGGGTCTCTGGGTCCCTCTCTCCCTGCCGTGGGGAGCACTGGGCGGGGGTGTGGGGTGACCCATTGGGAAGGACACGTGGCACCTGTTCGTGTCCTTAGGTGGCGTCTGTAGCTGCTCCTGAGATTCACGAATATCCCGCGCGCTCCTGGCAGAGAGTCAGAAGCGGCTCTGATCGTTCTCCCTGAAACAAAAGCCTTAGCGCCTGTACCACTGGGTGTAATTTCGGAAGGTTCCAGAAGGTGGTGCTGGAAGCTAAGAAATGCTGCCCTGCTGGCCGGCATCAGGATGCCGGGCTGACTTCTCGGCTTGGGGACAGCAGAGGACACGGTTCTGAAACAGGGACGTCTCCTAGAGCTTGACCATCCCCATTCCAGAACTGAGCAATTCTCGCCTTGGCCTGCAGACATCGTAGCAAAACAGGTGGGGGCCGGGGCCTGAGGCCCCAAGGAGGCGCCCGTGAGCGCTCGCCCAGGCTCGCGGCCCCCTCCCCACGGACAAAACCTCCTGCTGGGCCCGGGCGGCCTCCAGGGTCTGCGGGCCTCAGACCTGCTGGCTGAGCAGAAGCCACAGAACCAGAACCAGGCTTGCGTCCGTTTTTTCTGAGTCCTGAAAACACTCAGAACTAATTGCAGAATTTTCCGGGGTTCGTAGCCCAGCCGTTTCTCGGCTCTTTCCAGGGTCCCCCACGCCCCCCCGCCGCTGCAGCTCCCCACCTGCGTCCCAGGTCACCCCGTGGTCCCGGCAGGCGCCAGCTCTGGAAACACCGAGGTGGGAACACCAGCCTCGCAGGGTGAAGGCGCACTCGAGTTCCCGCGGTGGCTCCGCGCTGTGAACGGCGCGCGGCTGAGACAGCTCGGCCGGCGTCCTTGCACGTCCCCTCCTTGCAGGTACTCATAGCCCTGCCCCGGGCACCTGGGGCGGCCGTCACAGGGGCCAGGCAGGGCCTGGGACACGGGTGAGAGCCCCGCGCTGCGGCCCTCCCCCACCCAGGCCTCCCCCTGCGGACCCCACCGGCTGGAGGTGGGCAAGCGCCCGGCTCCCACGCCCTCAGGGGACTGCTGTTGCTGGCTGCGCGGCGTCCACTCCCCCGAAAGCCAGCGCCCCGGCCAGGAGGCCTGGGCCCGCCTCTGGAGCTCCACCATCTGTCCAAGCGGGCGGATGGTCGTCAGGGCTGGAGGGGAACCGGGGCTCGTGGCGGGTCCTGGGCCTTCGGGGGTCGACGGGCCGCACACCGCCTCTGAGCATAGAGGACAGAGGCCCGGACCCGTCAGGGGCGCAGACGTGTGCCCCGGCCAGCCTCGGGCACCAGGACACACA